AAAAGAATTAAAAAGTAAAATACAGTTAGTAAGAAACAATTAAATGTGGGGTCTAAAATATCAAGATTTTAGTTGTAATATATCTTTGTTTATTTATGAAATTAGGAAATCATTAAGTCACTTTTCAAATGAAAAGCTAAAATCACTATTAAGCTTTAAACCAAGAATACTTGGTACAGATCACTAGTTAGAATTAGTGCTATATTAATAAAGCTATAATAAATTAGATCAATGTCAGAAAACTAATTTCTCCTAAAACTGAAATATAGACTCTAAACATAGATAAACCCCAATGCTGGGCATGGCACAAACCTGTGTATTAAGTTGCACTCCACGAATGGTTTACAGTTAGAACTGAATTTTATTTCAGATTTACTGTTTAGATATGAAGTGTAGCCCAAGTAGTTTGAAGCCATTTTGGTGGTCCTCAGCCCTGGCAGCTTAAAGCTGCAGCTTTTGGCTAGGTCTTGGCTAATTGACGTGATGGAGCAAAACCTAGTCCTGGTTGTGGGACGGCCTGAAGCTTGCAGGGAGCAGCAGAAGGAGAGCTAAATGTGAGTTTATTGGCACTCTGGTGGAGGCTGCTAGCTGCTGGATTGGGACTTTAAAAGAGAAGTCAGTTGCTGAGGCAGCTGACATCTCCTCTCAGCTCAGGAAAAGTGCAAGGATATTTCAGTGGAATTTGCTCACTTTTGACACTGAACAGAGTTGACATAATTGGGACGTCGCCATAATATGCAGTAATATTCCTTTTAAGGGTTGCTCCCTCTTGAGTGGGTTGGGGGGGAGAGGCAAAGGAAGAAGAGGAAATTGCAAACGAAACATCCCTCCATTCATCATTCTTCTCCAACCTGGTGTCTTCCAGATGTGTTGGAAGTGCAGCATCCAAAATCTGCAGTGCTGACCAGCAGCTCTGAGAATTGCCATCTTGGCACGGGCTGATTTAGGTATTAGCGGGCCCATCCATCTCTCCATCTGCCTGGGAGTAGCGCTGTATTTTGCAACTTGAGCTCCTTTTGAGCTGGATGCAAATTTTCTCATCGATAGGAGGCTGGCAGATGGAGGAAGAGACTTTTTCTCTGCACCAGCTGTCAATGGGAGCTACAGTTCTGCTTTCTCTGAGGCCAGCTGATGAGTGTGGGGAGAGTTTTTGTATCAGGAAGCCAGTAAGCAGGGGTTTCGGTTCCCTGGCGGAAGTATTTTAGAAGAATGACCCATTCCTTGGTAGAAAAGCTCCAAGTGGACCCAGGAAGTGTATAGCTGAAGGCCAAGATCCTTTTCTTCAAGGGGTGGGTGGATGCAATGAAACCCGGTTGAGAATCATGCTCTAAGCATGGCTGGCTGGGGAATTCTGGGAGTTGAAGTCCACTCATCTTAAAGTGGCCAAGTTTGGACAACACTGCTCTAAGGCATCTGTCCCCAACATTGTCTTCTCCAGATGGTAGACTGTCACTCCAGCTGGTGCAACCTCAGAGCATCCCAGCAGCAGCTGCTTAGGAGGTTGTGCGTGTGACACTCAGTGTTTGTGCTGAAATGCTGGTGTGTATGTGTGCATGTGTAGGTGAGAGGTGGAATCCCTTTCTGGAGTCTAGTTCTTTTTTCTTCAGATGCCTCAGATGAGCAGAGCAGCAGGTTGGAAGTGAGGACTTCAAAGTCTTCAAGTCAGTCTTTTCTAGTCTGGCTTATTCCAGCTTTCTTGGACTTCAGTTCTCATAATCATGGCCATGATGGATGGGGATTATGGGTGTTGGAAATCCAGCACATAATAGCAGTGAAAATCCCCCTGGAGGTTCCTTGGGACTTGGAGCTGGCATTCATTTGTTCCTACGTTGTCTACCACACACATGTAACTTGCAGAAATACAAAGGCCTGGCCCAAATAGAGAATTGCAGCTGCTGTATTGGCTATTAATACCGATCTTCACAGCATACTAAGGGCTTGTCGGTGGCATGCCAAATAATATTACTTTGACCTTGACTCAAAGTAGTCATCAGGGAGTAAGTTTCAGAGAACGCAGGGTGGTTGTTTTGACGCTGATACGTTTGGGGTCAGATTGCACACTCTGGGGAATTAAAAACAGTGCTTTGGGAGAAGCCGGAGTGCCACACAATCATTTGCACGACCGTTTTGCAGCACTTCTGGTGGGCTGTGTGTTAGTTGGTGGGCTGGGGAATTCTGGGAGTTGAAGTCCACACATCTTAAAATGGCCAAGGTTGAGAAGCACTGCCATAGAGGGTCACCCCCCCCCGCCAGCTATAAGCCTTTTCCTAAACCGCTTTTCAAGTTAGATTCCACTGTAGTGCAAATCTTTTTCAAGATAGATCCAAGATCTTTCTTCTCCCTGGCTCATATGTTTCATGCTGCCCTTTTGCTTTAGCTGTCGTTTCCTGTTTCACCGGCCGATGCCTTTGCCTGTAAAGTAGCCCTGATCTCTCCAACATTTCCTA